GCCTGGGCTGGGACTGGTCCCGCCGGCGCAGGGTAGCAGGAAATTTTTCGCACACTCACCGGACCTGGACTAGGACTGGGTCTGGGGGCTCCCGGAACTCGGCAGAAAATCCTACTTGGCGGGCGGGGTGGGGGAGGCACTGCCGGAGGTCCCTTATTGTGCAAGCTGCATATCCTAGAACTCACAGCACAGTTTCCTGGTGTTCAGGGATGAAGGATGATAGAGAAAAGGAGCAGATTTCCCTTATTAGCTTTCTGCAGTAATGCCTAAAAACATGTCTTCCTTTCTCATGCCCATCAAATTAGCTTTTCTTCTAAAGAGAAAAAGCATTTGAAATTTTATCCAAAGAATGTTCCATCTTGCCCACCCCACATGAGTAAACCCAAGGCATCATCATGTGAGTCCAGATAAATGCAGGCTCTGCTGGGTTGAGGAGTGTAGTGAGGGTAAAGGAAGCTTGCTTTCCTTTAGTGACTTATTTCAGCCCTTTAAAAGTCATAACAGAGTTCTCTGTCTCCCTTCTAGCCTCCTGTCCACCGTGTTACATGGTTTATTTCAGACATTTTTCTCACACAGTGGAATGTCCCAAGGTACAAATGATGTAAGGTCAGAAGCAGAGGAAGTTCAAAGTTACTAAGGGACAACGGTGCAGAAGCTGCCTTCTTACTTGTCTTTTTTTAATCAGTAGAATAATGAAGAACACTTACTAAATTTTGACATGATGTTGACACTAAAATAAGAGGGAAATTTTAACACGGTCTCCTGTTAAAAACTGAGTTCATCACATCTGCTAGATGATGGTTATATGTGCCTTCTTTCCTCCTTTCAGTTTGGAAATGTGGGGATATCCTCTGTCAAAATAGCAAGACCTAGGGTTTGCTGATCATTTTAGGTTCTGTTTGCAAACTACGTCCCTGAAATGGTGGAGCTTTTTGCTAACAAGAGGAAATACACCAATTCCTATGAAGTGGTCAAAGGAAAGAAGTAAGTACTTATAAAACACAATTGCAGCATCTTATGATGCGCTGTCATCACATATTTCATTCTAGGTGCCTGTTGTCTGGCCAGGTTATGGAACCCAAGGTTTATTTCTGGCAAGCTCCTTCATTAACTAAAGAACTCTGTGTTAGAATAAATATGGTGAAAATATATTTTCTACTTAATATAAACTACCATGTAGGTGCTGGTAAACATATCATACAGAATATTTCAACCTAAATAACAAGAGACAGAGACAGAGAGACACAGCAAGAGAGAGATTTTCCAAAAATAATGTTTAAGTGAGAATACCAGAACATTGCTAGGGGAATACACTCCATAGTAAACTACACACATATTAAATGAAAGCTAAAGGGGCAGCCAAATAGCTCAGTAGATTAAAATGCCTGCTTAGGCAGACCCAGTGCCCTGGATTCGATCCCAGGCATGCTGTGCTGGCTCCGCCCCCAGGGCATGCTGAGAGGAAGATTGAGACTGGGCATGGTGGTGTGTGTCTGTAATCCTAGCACTTGGGAGGCTGTAAGCAGAAGGAACACTACGAGTCTGATCTATGTAGTGAGACCATGTAGACCCTGTACTAAATACAAATAAATAAATAAATAAATAAATAAATAAAAGCTATTCTCAGTGGCCAGTTCCTGTAGTTCCAGCTACTCAGGAAACTGACAAGAGGATCTCTTGAGCTCAGGAGTTTGAGACGAGCCTACCTGGTGAGAAACTCTCGAAATAAATAAGTAAATAAATAAAACTAGAAGGATTACATAAGATACTTTAAGGCAATAATCTGTGCAATCAAGGAGTAATAGCAAAGTGGCCTCAGTGTAACAGTCAATAGACAGTTGTTGGGCACATGTCCTTTCATAAGGAGTGTGTGTGTATGTGTGTTTGTGTGTGTGTGTGAAATTGCTGTAGCACTTGAGCAAGGTGCAATCTGGCAGACTTGTAATGCTTATTGTCCCCCACTGATACAGGAGAAACCCTCCCTACGTCATTTCAGGCTGGCTTTCTTGCTGTTCCCCTCCTTTCCTTTCTCTAATAGACACATGTGACTCCATTTCAATTCTGATAACACTCAGAATTACAATGACAGAAAATATTATAATTCACTGTCAATAAATACTAGTGGGGATGGCGGTGTTCTAGATCCCTTGTCACTAACTATTCTCGTAATGATTATAGCTGTCTCGCTCCCGGAACTTGCCTTGATTCAAATTTAAAATAATTAACGTAGTGAAACTATCTTAGCTAAAACTGCCCCAACAATTTTCAGTCTGTTTTTTAGTCAAAGATTTGCTACAGTAGGGAGCATTTTACACTTTCTTCTACACTGCTTCTGAAACAATTGTTTTGCCCAAGCTGTAAGCCATTTGTTCTCAGAAGGGAATGGAGATAGAGTCATTCTTACCCTATTTCCCTGTGGATTCATGTTACCTTGGCTATCATTATTATATCTTTTCACATCTAAGAAAAAAAATTGATTGGCGATGTTAAATTTGATCTGATTCTTTTTTAGAGTCTGTGTAGGAAAGAGGTACAATGTAAATAAACTCCTCTGGAGCAGTTTCATGGCACAGTTGGTAAAAATTACAGCTGATGAAGTTATGCAATGAAGAAAGGAAAAACAATGAAATTAATAAAAAAAATAAATATAGTGAGAACCAGTAAAATAAAACAGAGAAATCAAAGTCTAACCCATTTAATCTCAGGAAAGGCAGACAGCACACATAAAAATCAACCATCCTGGTCTGGAAAATTTAAGGTTAACTTACACTAGAACTGCATTTTCAGTCTTTTATAGTTACCAAATTTATTTATAAACAAGTTTAAGCTAGCTGTCCATCTCTAAAACTAGACAAAAAAATACATTCAGTCCTTGCTGCCACTGTAGATGCTGTCTGTGGGTTCAACAAACTGTAACTGGAAAATATTTGAAAAAAAAAATTGCTTCTGAAATAGACTTGCACGTGGTTCAATCCCCAGTTCCACAAGCTGCACTAAACCCACCCTTAAGGAAGCCAGAACTAGAAAAAAAAAAAAATTGAAATAGACTTGCAGACGTGCTCTCCTTGTCATTATTGCCTAAGCAAACACTATAGCAACTATTTACATAGCATTTCCATTCTAATAAGAATTAGAAATCATTCAGAGATGATTTTAAATATATAGACGTATGTGTGTACTTTAAGTGCAAATACTGTGCCATTTTATAGGGAGAATTGAACATCTGCTGATATGGCTGTCCTTGTGGGCCTTGGAATACACTCCCCATAGAAACCACAGGACCCTTCACATGTGTTTCCCAGATAACCTACCTTCCTGATCTTGCTGCCCAGGTTCATTGTGGTCTGTGGAAACATCACTGTGGACAGTGTGACTGCTTTCCTGAGGAACTTTCTGCGCCATAAGCCAGGGGAGATCAACACTGAGATTGTGTTCTTGGGAGAGTAAGTGTGTGATTCATGAGTTCTAAACTGATACTTGAAATGGGTGTAAATATGTTTAATGGAAGAAAAGCATTCTGTTATATTATTTTAGAGATAGCAATAGACAAGAAAGGAAATGTAAAGCAATCTCATGTCCAGGCTTAACCTATAGAAATATTTTATAATATATCTTATAAGATGTTGTCCTACCCATGAGGTGTGGTCAAAATATATAGTGAATACTTGCAGTTTTGGTTTGGGAAGCAGTTATAATATAGAAGAAAACATGCATATATGTAATATTTGTACATATATATATTAATTTTAAAGGGGGCTGAAAAAATATCCATTATGAAAACACAACATGGTTAATCTGAAATTTTAATTCTTATATCAATAAAGAGGAGTACCTTAATTTTAAAAAATCATATTTATTTCTGCATAAAATGTGATTTTTTGCACAAAAGGTATAATCAAAATATATAGTAAATGTTTAGATTTTTTAAATATTACTTTTTATTAAAGTGTCTTTTATTTTACACTTTCAATGAAGTATAATTTAAAGTGTTGTGAATACTAAAGTCATATGATATCCAAAAGAAAGACAACCTCCTAAAAACATCATGCTGTTTCCTTCCCATCTTATTTACCAGATCTGGGACCTATGTGACTTCTGTCTTTTCCCCATAGTCAAAATGTCCATGACAGATCAATATCTTCAATCTACTTAAAACACTGAGGCAGCCATGACAACACAACTAAAAATGTTCATGAATGAGGACCCTCCGACCTGCCTCAGAAAGTCACAAGAATGGTGGGATAAGTGTGTTCTAAGCAAGGGGCAGCGTTCTGAACAGGATGAATGTGTGTCTTGTATGGTCATCATGGCTTTTGGTCACTCCACAGATGTACTATTATTGTTTAATGACTCTCCATTATCTCACATTTAAGTTAACACTACATCTGTTGTCATTGCACATGACCATAATTTTGTGTACAGATCTAGTTCATTTCATAATTATTTGTAACTGTTCATTCTGAAGATTGGAAATGTGAAATTCAAGCAATCATCCTTAATAATGCTTTTGCTCTGTATACTTTCTTTTCTTCTAGCAGAGTCCAAGTCAAATAGTTTGCTTCTAGCAAAGTCTAAGTCAAATAGTCCAAGACAAATACTTACCAGTGTTTGTCTAACACTAGTAAGTAAATATATATTTAAAGAATATATACTGGTAAATATATATTTAAAGAATGAGTAATCCCAGCACTTGGGAGGCTGTAAACAGGAGAATCACTATGAGCCCAACCTAGTAGTGAGACCCTGAACACCCTGTAGACCCTTCCCTAAAATACAAAAAAGAATGATATTTTAAGGTATTAATTATATAAAATGGCTTCTTACTACTTTATTTCACATTTTTCAATTTTGTTTCCCAACGTAAATGGTTTCTTGCTGCTTTACTTTACAATTTTCAACTTTTAGCTTGTAGTGAGATTGAATGGACAATTTTACATTGTTAATGCTTTCCTTGTTTTTAAAATTCCTCCATTTATTTTATTCTTTTCTGTTAGGGGAGATTTTATTGTTTTATTGACCTTTAAACACTCAAAGTATTTTTATATACCTTCTATGTCATTAGCTATATATTTATTTTCCTCCAACTTCTACTTTTTGTTTGTGCTTTTGTTTTAATACAGAAGGATTTCATTTATAAGTACTCTAATCATCAATTTATTCTTTTTGGCTTCTCACTTTTCTGACATTTTTAGTATTTTTGTTCTATAATTAAGGGACAATTTCTTTAATGTTCTCACAACAAAGTTTTTACTTCTAAGCTGTATGAAATTTATTGTGTGTAATATGTGAAAACTAGCTTTTTTATTTTTCTCAAATGATAAATCAACTTTCTAAAAACTGTTCACTAAATAAGTTATCCAGGCTGGAAATGACATTTTGATCTTATCCAGGAAGTATACTCAGGAGTCACACTAACCTTCCCTTATTTTACAACCGAGTACTATGTACATTACACTCTGAGAAGGCCAACTCCCCATGAGCTTGGGCTTCTGTGTATGTGATGTCCAGTAGCACTTCGGCTACTTCATGATGCTAAAGGTGAACAGCTGTGCTTCCACATCTTTGCAATGCCTGTATTTACTGAAATCCATGCTTTATTTGGATCTTTGAAAAACAGTGGAGGAAAAGAAAATGCAAATGAGGGAGAAATGAGGAAGTCCTGAAATGGACTATGAGCTAATCATCATTTGAAAAAAGCATGGATTCATTAGATATATTGAAAGTGATAGATTTTATTAGGAGTTATACTTTTATAGGTTAACGTAGATTAACTGTAGGTATTTGTTGTCATGATTTTTGCAAGGGAAAAAATACCACACAAGACACAACTTATATGATTATATTTTAGTCACTCACAGAATCATATACAAAGAGTGCAGGAAATCTGTCCACATATTAAAGACCAAAGAATACAGCTGAGGGCCTGGATCGTAATATCCAGCATGAGTCCAACTGAAAACCTAGAGTCCACAACAATGCCTCTTGCAAGTCCAAGTGGAAGCCTAGAACCATAACAATCTCTCATGCAGGCCTGCTTCAAGGTTCTGCCCTGAGAAGACCCAAAGGCCAGTGGAAGTTAGAAAGTCTGTACCAGCAGGATGAAGGATATGAGCTAGCAGGCTGAAGATCTGAACTGAAACCAAGAAGCAGTGCTCAAGATATGAACCAGAGCTCGAGGACAAGTACTACAGCCATCCTCAGTAACAGTGATGAAGAGAGCTAAATTCTCATCTGGAAAGCCAACATGACAAGCTTCTTCAGGAGGTGAGCTGTACATCATCTTCCTCTCCAGAGCCAGGAAGTGATGCTCAAGATGAGGACCAGAGTTCCCCCAAAAGTGAATCATAGCCATCCTCAGTGACAATGAGGCCCCAAGCTCCTCCTCTAATGACAGCAACCAAGTTCATCAGGAAAGCCAGCATGACAAGGTCCTCCAATAGAATAGCCCAAGAGAAACAGCAGCATCCAACAGCTCCAACAGCTTTTCCAAACAGCTTCCCTAACAGTCTCTCAATAGCTGTTCTTGTTCTGCTTCTTATGGTCCTGGCAACAATCCACAGGTGAGCCTCCTGCACCCAGCACCAGGCTAGATAAATTCAGCTGAGTACAACAAGTTGACCACTAGTTGGCAATCTACCACCTTGTCAAAATGATGATCTAAAAAATGGTACATAATATTGGAAGCATCCATCTAGGATTTTGTCAATTATGTCTATACTTTGATGACTCCAAAATGCATATTCTTCACCATTTTCTGTAGATTCCTATTCACACAATCAATTGCCCACTGGACATTATGATTCCATTTGATAAACAGTAAGGATCCTCTAAATCAACATTTCCAAAACAGAACCCATGATCTTATATCCCCTTACCATCTTGCAAGGCAATAAATGAGGGAGGGAAAGCCCACTTGAGACCTGGTAAGTGCAGTTCCTTGGAAGAGAAAACTAGGCATTGTCTCCCTCGAGCCTTGTGTATGTTTTCATTATTACTACAAATTATTCTCATGAAAATCCTAATTCTATTTCTCTTGCTTCATCTCCACTCTCACAAACCTACTAAAAGTTTAGCCTTCTCTCTTTTGAATTTCTGCGATGACCACTTCTTTGCTTCATTCATTGTATTGTGAAACTCTTCTCCTACCTTTGGTACGGCCTCATGTATCCCTCTCCCTCAGCACTCTAGAGGCCTCTAGCCATCCTGTCTAAATTGGTCTTATAATTTTACTCTGTGTTATTATGCTAACTTATTTACTTTAAAACAATTATTATACTCTGAAGTTGAGGTAGATATTCCTGTAATACAACTGTTCACATTTTCTTCTTTACCTTACACGCATATTGCTTCTCTAGTTAAAGGTGGAGTCTATCTTTCCCCCACTGACTCTAAGCTGAGCTGTGACTCAATTTGACCAGTAGAAGAAGGGATATTTTCATGTCTACCTTTTTTTTTTTTAAATTTAAGACCTTTATTAACAGGTGCTTGCAGTTTGTTGACTTTTTTGAAAAAATCAAGTTGTAAACTTTTATTACAAATTAAAAATGAAGTTCTTAAAAATCTCAGCTTGACCAGATATGAAACAATTTAAAAACCTTTAAAGGTGTATTGAGAAAAACCAGGCTTTTAAAAAAAACATGTTTGTCATTACCAAAAAGAGACATCTTCAGGTAAAAATAATACAAACCCCATGCTGCATAGATAACGCAGATAGTTCTAGTTATCTGGTCAACGAGCAAAAAGCAAGCACTTAAGGTCTTCAGTTCCAATCTTTTGTTCATTTCTTATTGCTTGAATTTCCTATTTGTTTCTTTCTTGCTGGATGACTAAACCAAATGAAGGTAGAGATGTTAGGCCGGTGTTTACTCAGCCCCTCCCTGCTCAGCCTCGCGAGCGAATGAATTCTCAGCTGGTGGATCGGCTGCTTTTGTCTCTTTGCCATCTTGTGGTTTAGGGTTTTCTGGGCATCTTCCTCGGTAATTGAAGTTGCGACAGTACCCACGTTGAGGTGGCTGCTGACCTTGGGTCTCATCTCCTTGATTTTCCTTATCTTCTTCATTGCCATCCTCTCTAGGCTGTCTTTGGCGAGGAGGGCCCCTGTGGAATCGGGGTCTATAACCTCGATACATATTCTGTCTCACTTGTCTACCTTGTTCTCCTGCACCCTGGTTGTCAGCACCCTCCATCACTTCTCCTTGCACAGGAGGGTTGGAGTACTGTGGACGACGCCCACAGAGTCTCCGCATGTAGTGAGGTGGGAACCTTCGCCTGCGGTAGGGCCAGCGTGGCTGGCCCTGGTCTTCGGGAGTGCTCTCCATCCCTCATTCTTTTCCCCACTCTCGGTATTCTGGTAATTCTGCTGGTCATTGCGTGGAGGACCCCTATGACGTGGATGGCGTCTATAATGATTACGGTCTGCTGCGTATTTACTGCCTTGAACTGG